GAATGAAAAAAATGAAATTAAAGGAAATATGAAATTACATGATTAGTGAATGGATGAAACGATAACCTTACTGGATATTCTGAAAGATGATGGACGGATGGGATACATAGGGAACCCTACTGTGAACATTGCCTTATACCGGACGAGGTATCGAGACTTTGTAATTTGGTGCTCATATTGGACAAAGTATAGGGACAACCCGTTTTACCCTCATACCGAACAGGATATTGAGGTTTAGTAGTTTGGCGCTCATACCGAACGGGGTATGAAGACGACCCGTTAATTAAAAATATTAAAGGAAAGAGTTCACGCATTATAGAGACATCCCTATAAACCCTCATAAATATCAGTAGACTGATAAAGGATAAAATTATTGTTCCAATCAATTACATATAAAATCATGATCTGTGTTATGTTGTTGTCTCTATAAGTTGTTTTGTAAATCTCGCTACGGTAAGTAGATAGTAAACGATTTGTTTATGATAAATAAATTTGTTTAATTAAGAGCTCCATTAGTTGATTTGATTTTTCTACCAACCTTCATTTCCGTATTAGTGAGCAGTGTGATATTCTTACTAAATTAGTGTAACTCATTCTTTATTTAACCACTTCAAATCAAGAGGATCAGGATTTACAGCCTGATCTAAAAGAAGGTTGCGAGTAAGATGCCAATTTTATTTATTTTCTTAATTTTTTGTATTTCCTTCAAAATGGTAATTTTCGTAACACCATTTGATATTTTTAGTTATTATATAAGAAATGTAAATGCTAACTAATTATTTCGCTTCTACACTTAATTTATGATTTATTTTATTTAAAATTCTAAAATCGTTACAATTACAATAATATATTTAATTATCTGAATAAAGAAAATATTTCAAATTTAAATAATTCAAATAGTTATAAAATATTCAATTATAATTTAACAACTTTTGCTTATAAATTTTAAAAATATAATACATTTTAAATAAAATTTTTGCATCTTACAAGTATTTAAATCCATAAGTTATCCGTACGTATCTTTGTTACAGTAAATGAGGAAAAGCAGAGGAGAAAAGGAAAATGGTTAAGGGTATTTCTGTAATTTTATAATCAGGGATAGTACTTGGAGGAGAACACAAACATTAGCAGGAATGAAGAAAATTCATAGAACTGGATGATGATGGGTGGTAGCATGGAGGAAGAAGAAGCAGAAGACATGAGTGTTGAATTAGGATGTTACGGAGGGAAGGTAAGGCTTTTGGTAGTCGGAGAATCGGAATCGGAATCAGCTGCAGAGGAAACTCTGCTTCTCTGGGGATTACAGCAACCTACTCTCTCTACTCCAAACGCTTTCGTTTCCCAATCGTCTCTCCATCTCAACCTCGACGCTTGCGGCCAATCCCTCTCCATTCTTCAGTCCCCTTCTTCACTTGTATGTTTCTCTCTTTCTCACTTGACTTTATTCTCTTTCAATTTTTAATTCCTTTTCAATTTTTCAGGCCGCGCCTGGAGTAACCGGCGCAGTGATGTGGGACAGTGGAATGGTGCTCGCCAAGTTTCTGGAGCACGCTGTTGATTCAGGATTGCTGTGTCTTCACGACAAGAAAGTTGCGGAGTTGGGCTCTGGCTGCGGTTTAGTAGGGTAAATAGTACTTTTGTCTTTATTGCGTATTAGATCTTTTTTTTAGGAAAAAAATGCTGAAATCATTTCACCTATTTATATAGCTATATTTTACGTAGGGAATATGATCTATCATCCGCTTCGAATTACCAATAGCCGTAATCCCAACTGTTTTCCAAGTACATCAATCTAAAACTCCCATGTTTAGAGAATTCACTAGGAATAGGATTGCCTTTCTGGTCTCCCCTCGTATAGATTGTTATTCTGCTTCCGTAAAT